TTTTGTTTTGATTAGATTTTTTCGTTGTTATTTTTACTGGAATTTTAATTTAAAGTTTTAATATTTTCATAGATCTTTCATACGCATTTTTGTATTAATTATTAGCTTTCAACTCTTATTTCTATTTTTAAGCTCTTCTTCTTCCCTTTCCAAAACCTAGTTAAAAACCCCCCGGAAATTCTCAGCTAATTTATTAACGCTTCTTTCATCTTTTGGCTTACAAATTTTCATCAAATTCCCGTCCCTTGTGTTCTGTTAACCAAATCAGATTACGTTTAATGCCATCTTGATTGGTGCTGCTTCATCAGCTTGGCTCTCTCTCTGCTAACCCAAATTTCATAATTAATTAAATTATTTAATTTACTTTGTAGAAGACACACATATTTGAGGCAAGCGGGACCCTGCCACTCTCCCCGTCTCATTTGAGCCAAGTTAACAAAAAACCTTGTTAGTAATTGCGGTAAATGTGATTAGAAACTTTGCTGCCTCATCCCGCATTTCGCGCTGTTTTCCCCTATTTGATTTTTAGCATCGGAAAAAGCGAAAACTTTTAACCTACACAGAGATACACACGCACACACACACACCCAGCACCCCCCACCCCCTATACCCACACAAATAGAGCTGAGACCCGTAAATAGTTAGTTCACCTTTTACGTGCGTTAATGATGTTTTCTCAATCAAAAAGTTAAATCTTTCGCAGCGTTAGAAGCGAAATTTTTGCACGCAAAGTTTTTTGGTGGGAAAATTTGGGGGGGAGGGGAAAGCGAGGGAAATTTTTGGCTAGGACAAGCGTTTTTTGGCTGCTGCTGCTGCTGCTGCCAAACGAATCGAACAAGAAAAGCTAATTACAAGTAGCTCGGAAAGTTGTGCGTGTTTTAGCCAAAAAGGGAAACCGGAGGATAAACTGGGGGCTGGGGCTGGGAGGGTGGAAAAACACCTGTGCGGCGAAAAACTTTGATTGGTTTTTATATGATTTTGGCCAGGCGTAAAATTTCTCGACGACTCTTCGGTTAAATGTGTCAATAATTGGCCTACAAAATGTATCTCCTGGCTGGAGAGTTTTATAATTTGGGATCCTTATGTGGGTGAGAGCTTCCCTCAAAGTGGCTGTAATGAGAAGACGACGAAGCAGGGATATTTGGAAAAATAAATTGGATTAGGGCCTAAATGAAGCAGAGAACTTAAGGCTAAAAGAAAGCTTTGAAGTCAAGCGAAATTTTATAAGCGAAGCTGGAAAATTTGTCCTGAATTTTTAGAAAGAAAATAAAATCTAATAAAAAATTAAGATATTCTAAAATGGTTTGAGAAGTTTTAATTTCAAATAAAATATTTTTTCAATAACCACAATTTCCCTAAAAGCAATTTCTTTGCAAAACTCCATCCAAATAAGTTGAGTTTATACCTAAAATATAAATGGTTTCCCCTTGGTCAACTTCATTTCATTCATAGGATCTCGGGTTTATTCATTTATTCATTTGAAGCTCTGCCAAACATTCCAGTTATAGTTTCCTTAGACTCCGAAACTGCCAAAGTCTTTACTTCGCAACTCGAATGCCAAAGAGTTTTGATCCTTGAAAAATAAGGGAAAACGAGGGGCGGAGAGTTGCATTGAATAACTAACCCCAACACTTACTTACAAAAGTATTCTACCGTCGCCCCTGTGTTTCATAACAATGGGATTTCCCCCAATTTCTGCACTTTTTAGCTTGGCACCCAAATTGTTCCCAGTAAAGGCAAAGGGTAGATGGGGCGAATTTTAATATTAAGCTAAGCTTGTCCTTGTTCTCCGGCAGCTTCAGCTGCCCCCTCATAAAATCTCTGGCTGTGTGTGTGTGCGAGGAAAAGTTTTTATCTACAGCTAAATAGTTCTGGACTATTTCTCCATCAATTTTATTGGTAATACTTAGACGAAACTTTGTCCAAAGGGGGACAGGCTGCCAGGGCTTTAAGTGAAAGGATTCAAAGCGTAAAAAGTTTGTTTGGTGAGTTTCTCCTTAGTTTTTTTTGCAGGGAATTAGAGAAGCGTTTTGTACATCAATTTTTTTTGTCTTTGCTTTTCTTTTTAATAAATTCCCGAAAAATACTTGCAACTTTTTGAGTGGAGGACGCCGGAGAGGGATAAACTAATAAAATGAGTTCCCAAATGCTCGTCGGCTTAATTGTAATTACTTTTTGCCAAAAGCTGAAGCCGTCTGTCTCCTTCAGTCTTCTCTTTGCCTCTGTGTGTGTGTGTGTGTGTGAAAAGTTTTGCCAACTTGTAATTATCACTTACAACATGGAGCCGCCCCTTATCCCACTTTCCGCATTTTCCAGGTTTAACAAAACTGCCAACCACAAAGGCGTAACTCCGGGGAGGGGGCAGGCCCCGCCCACACACACATGCAGCTTAATTAATAGACATCACAAAGTGCTGGGAAATGCCGCCCCTCCGCACTCCTCCGCGTGGCATGATGTAGCACGATTCCTGGCCGCAATAATAATTTACATTTTAAGCCAATTTGAAACTGGCCAGGAAAAAAAGAGAGCATTTCCATTTTCACAGTTAAATAAAAATTAATTACAACAATTTATCGTCGTCGTCGCAGCAGCCACAAAAAATGTTTGAAAATGTTTAAGGTTGGTGATGCGACCAAGGGATATCCTAGAATTTGAGAAAGAAAATAAGTTAAGAGAATATAACATAAAAAGTTTTGAATTATGTTCTTTAATTCATTAAAATTTCATTATTATATATTAGAAATATAAATTAATGATATTTCTTTCACAAATATTCTTATGAAAATGTATGTTTTGGCTTATATTTTAGTCATCAATGTGTTAAAATTGTTTTTAAATAAATATTCAATAAACTCCCTATTAGCTTATTATACACAGAGTGTCAATATATTTTTCCTATTTTTATAACCTATTTTTATGAGCTTTCAAAACAGTAAAGAAGCCATTTCCGACCCCATAAATCATATATATTCTTGATCAGCATCAACAAACGCGTCTTCTTAGCCATTTCCGGAGGAAATCTTTGTATAGAAGCATTTAAAAATATTTACAAATTTGTATTATTGTTTAAAATTATAATTTTTTTTAGAAATTATTCAACAACACTTTCCAGAGTCATCATACCCCTTTCAGTTTACGATCAACCTTTTGCTGGGTACCAAGCGAAGCGAATTACAAGGCGTACAACCCTCAGGACAACTGTCCAACTTGGACACGCCCCCTTGACGCCCCCCCGCGTTGCCCAAAAGACCGGTCGTAATGTGCGGCTTGTTGTTGTTAAACGTCGGCTAAAACGCAAATGTTAAACCCTTTCGTTAATGCAAAATAATTGCTCCGGTTCGTGGTCCGAGTTCTCAGTGTTCCGTCCAAAAAAAAAAATCTACCAAAAAAATAAAAGTAAAACGTCAAAACGGTATTTTATTCCCTGCCTTCCTCCTTTTTTCCGGCTTTGGTGGGGTTAAAAATTAGAGCAACGTTCGTTACAAAAAAAAAAAAAAGTGAAAGAAAAGCGAAAAACGGGGGGCGTGTGCCGAGTTCCGTTTCATTTAGTTTTCAGTTTCCACCTAATTTACCCAATTGGGCAAAAGTGCTTTGTCATAATCAGGCCGGGAGCAAGGTTCGCATATCTAATGAATGGATAGAATGCCCGCAGAGGAGTCTCTTCCCTCCTCCCACAGAGCAAACTTTTCAGGGCGGGATTTCACGACGGCTCCTCCGCTGGGCACATATTTATCGAGTTGCTAATAGGCTGTCACATAATTAGCTGTCTAACAACCAAAATCGGACTGGAAACCTTCCGCAAAAAAGAGAAGAGAGAAAAGGTTGGATGCCCCGAATGACGGACATTAGCCCGGGCTTAGATGAAAGTCAAAGATGGCCGGAAACGATAATGTCCAAAGATGTCCCAATGCAATCTTGGCCTGGCCCTGGTCCGATTGGGTTAAAGATTAGCCGGGGTTTCTGTTTTGTGGCAACAATCTAATCTATAAAGCCGTTGGGTCTGTTCATTCCGAATCAAGATTCCGGGTGACGGATGAGGTGGAAGGAAGGAGGGTTTGGGATGCCAAAAAGTAGGCTTAGAAGGAGTGTTAAGGATAAGAGAAAAAAGGCATTTAATTTGTAAGGATTTGTGATAGGGATATAATTTTAAAGATTTTTCTATCATAATAAGAACATAAAAACATTACCAATATATAGAAAAATATATATATATTAAAAATGATTATAATGTTTATAGCAACAAATATTATGTTTTTATGCAAAATTAATGCAAAGTAGAAATTCCATTTCCACAAAACCCTTATCTAAATTTTATTTAAATTTAAAAAATCACCACAAAATGTAAATATGCTCCACCTGGACTTACTCCTCCATCAGGAAATCAGGGTTAACTCTACAAAAAAATAGATTTTAATATTTCAAGGAATTACGGTATGATTCCCCGGGGGTTACACAATTTTCAAACACAACCCTACCTAAGGGCAATCCGCATCAATTTCCGCTTGTTGAATGCCTTCGAGCCTCCTCTATTTCGACCTCCCTACCATTCCGACCAACCCTCATCATTCCTAATCAAGCGATGGAGAGGACGGGATCGAAATAAAAATACCTAATGTGCCCTCCCAATGGTCGCATTAAAAATCAACCAAAATTGACTTTGAAAAATGGTGTGAAAAATGCAAGGGAAATCCCCAAAAGGAAAAAAATAAAGTTTGCATTAAACGTATTTTGCATGACTGTTTTTGCAATTAAGGATAAAGAGCAGCTGCAATCGGGGGAATGTAAAAATAAACAGTTATGGGAAAATACATATATACACATTAAGAATATATATTTTAGTGAATTTCTAAAATAAATTTCTCACTTAAAAGTGAGACCTTTTAACTACCAAATTATATATTAATTTTTATAAAACTTGAAAAGTAAAGACAGAATTGTATTTTAATAAATGCCATGCTATTTTTTCAGCTAATAATTTCTTAAGAATATTTAATAAATAATTTTTTATATGCTGCACTGATTTATTAGCCAAATATTAATTTAAATTAAATTTAAATGGAATATACACATTATCGCTTCTTGTGCATATGCTCGCGGTTCTTGCACTTCCAGGCAGCTTGCCTAGATCCTCCAATAGTCTGAGAGTATCCATATCCCTTGCCAATACCACGGGAACTCTTGCCGGCTGATGTAAGACCGCGCAATTCACGATGCTTATGGACATTTTTGCAGATCCAGTTAATTTTTGGATCCCGCCGAATGGCACTGTGGTGAGTGTCAACCAGGATTACCTCAAAATATTTGTATGAAGCATCTTGGGCAATCCAATACGTATTTAAAACTCGCAAGCCACCGAGTCGACGATCCACACGCTCCTCTGCAATCGACTGCAGTCCACGATAGGGTTTCAGTTGGTTAACGCCATGGCTCTTGGGATTTCCATAGGTGCAGCCCTTTGGCACTGGGCGTTTTCGGCCACCACGGCGAATACGTATTCTATAAATAACGAACAAATATTAATAATATTAATAATAATAACAATGTATTCTATTAACTTACCTAACACTGTGGCTAAAAGTACAGAAAGATCTACTCGATGATTATTGTTTCAACGCCTCAATAAATCCTGAATTTTTTATTTGCATTTTTATTTTTCCCTCTTTTTTTTTTTTTATGAAAAATTGTCACAAAAAACAACAAGGGCCAAGTGGAGAGACAACCATCGGGCAAATATTTGTTGCCATTGGGCAAATGCAGAAAGGCAAACTCTTTGCTGTTGCAGAGCTGTGCTGGCCATGCTGTAAGTTGACCGTGTGAGATGATGATGGCCAGAACGACGGCGATGATTGCCATGGCTCCGCTGAACGAACATGTATATGGCAATGGTCAATGCTAATTGCCAATTATGGACAAATTCGCCAGAGCGCGAAATTAAATTAACCCCTTTTTTTTTGTACGGCAACAACGGGAATGGGAACGAGAGCGAGAACGACACAAAAATGCGCATCTGCAATCCTCGACCGCGTCATCAATCAGGAGCAGCAGGCGACAAAACACAAACTACGCGATGTGCAAATATGAAATATTTATGGCCACATATCTGCCTGAATTGTTGCCGAGGACACGGGGCATACGCGAATTGGTTGCGGCCTTTGGTCGGGAAAATAAACAAATTGATGAACGGAAGGCCAATTAGCTGGGACCAGATTGTAGCAAGTTTAAATAAATATAGTAAAGTGTATGGGATATATATTGAATATTAATATATTTTTAAAGAAATTAAATATATATATTCTTAAATTGGAATAAATTTGAAAAGACATATGCCGTTTTAAAATATTAAAAAATATTCAGAGAGAGTAAAGTAACTTTGGTAAGCTCGCTTCGGTTAATTAAGTTATTTTAATGATTATAAAATTCATAAAAAATATATTTAATTCAGAGCAAATTAAGTTTTCTGTACAAAAGTATATCCTTAAGGTCGGCTATTTCTCCTTTACCAGGACACTTGCTTATGCTATATCTCGACTGGGAAAAAGCACTACCACTTTAATGCAAACTTATCGATCTGCAATTATAAATTGGAAAGCACAAAAGCAACGGGGAGAGCGGCGAAAAAATACCAAACCGAACCCCAATAATGCCCCAAATGAGTTAAGTGGCGGATGGAATCGGAATTACTTTACCCTTCAGCCGTCCTCAATCGAAGCATTAAATATGTTATATAATAAAATTTTGTTATAGTTTTCTCTCTTCGCTCGCTGCTGGCGGCGGCGACGGATGCCAATGTAATTTCATTTGGTTTTTGTCGCGATTTTTCCAGCGGCGGAAAATGCTGTCAAGTGTAAAAAATAATAACACGCTTCGCGTCAGATTTTCCATGTTTGGTTATGATAATGGAAGGCACAATGAAAGCTCCACGGATATTCTCATTTTTTTGTTCCCAGCCGCCGTTCGTGTGGTTTTGGCCCTGTCAGGAAGGACTCTTGTGGCACATGGGTATTGTGGCTTATAAATGATTCACAAAACTGATGTACGTATTGTCTTAACGCATCAAAGGCAATCTTTGTCACAGGAAGCAATGGATTCGATTCGAATTTTCCAGCGGGAGGCCTCGAAAAGGGTAAATAAATACGAGAAGGGAGTGGTCGACAGCGAGATACTTATTGGTTTTATTTTGAAAAATTGTAAAGCCAATAAATACCAATAATACAATATTAAAATATATGATAATATAGAGTTCCTGAGCAGACCGTATACATTTTTAATTCCTTTAGTAGTACGTAGTAGTAGTAGTAGTAGTACGTACGTAGTAGTAGTACGTACTTGAGCTTCTGATTTTCACGGGACATACTCTCCCCTTTTATAAGAAAAAAGCTGGGTACTCGAGAAAAACAAAATGGAAAATGGTTTTCTGGAAACTTGAAATTATAAAGGGAATACATTTTGTTGAGGGGGTACAAAAAACACATTATATTCACCATTTTAATCAAAACCATTGAATTATTTTCGGAAGCAATTGGTTTAAACCAGCTGACAGGTTTCTCGCCATTTTCTTGTATTTTCTTTAAATGTACCAAGAAAAAGTGAACATGAATTATTGATGTTGTTTAATTTGCAGTCTTAAATATATGCTCAATTTTGTTTATTTAAGAATGCATTTATATAGCAACCTTTGAATTGTTAATCAATCTCTCAAGCTCTGGGGAAAGAAAACAGTTTGTTCTCTCATCAGAAACTGATTAATTTAATTAATATTAAAATTGTTCCATAATGACGGTGACCTACACCTCCAGTGTGAGCACTTCGAGTGTTGTGAGCAATTTCCTTGGCTTGCTGGTCAGGTGAGTAGCCAAATGTTGTCCTTTCCCTGTAACTTTCCTTAGAACTTTCTTGCATTTAGGTGGCGCGGCAGTATCTACAAGTTGGTGTGGCGGGATCTGTTGATGTTCTTAGGAATGTACACCATGCTGGCCATAATCTATCGCCTACTAATTAATGAAGAGGCAAAAAAGTGGGTACATTGCTTAAATCTTTTTGGGTTTAATCTGATCTCCTGATATTAAAGGTTATTTGAGGCAATTGCTCTTTATTGCGGAAATAATACCTCACTCATTCCGCTGTCCTTTGTGCTGGGATTTTACGTCTCAATTGTGATGAAGCGCTGGTGGGAGCAATATACCACCATTCCCTGGCCGGATCCCATTGCCATTTTGGTCACCACCAGTATCCATGGCTTTGACGATCGAGCCAGGGCCATGAGGCGAACGATCCTGAGATACGTGTGCTTGTGCCAGGTGATTGTCTTCACCATGATCTCTCCGCGCGTGAAGCGGCGCTTTCCCACCTATGACCAGATAATTGAGGCTGGCTTCTTGCTGGAGAACGAAAAGAGCATTATAGACAACCTGGACTTGGCCTTTCCCCATTATCCGAAGCACTGGATGCCTATTGTCTGGGCGGCCAGTATTGTGATGCGGGCCAGGAGGGAGAACAAAATCCGGGACGATTACGCCGTAAAGTCCATCATCGATGAGCTGAACAAGTTCCGCGGTTACTGCGGCTTCCTGCTGTACTACGACTGGGTCAGTGTCCCGCTGGTGTACACCCAGGTGGTAACCCTGGCCGTCTACTTTTTCTTCCTGTTCAGCGTACTGGGACAGCAGTGGACAGAGCAGAAGGAGGAAGAGGATGGATTTAGTGTGGTCAAGTGGTTCCCGATCCTCACCATCCTTCAGTTTTTCTTCTACATGGGCTGGCTCAAGGTGGCCGAGAGCCTGATCAATCCCTTTGGAGGGGACGACGACGACTTTGAGGTAAATATGTGGCTCAGTCTGTAGACAAGCATTTGATTATTTCTTAGCTCAACTGGATTATCGATCGAAATATTACGGTTTCGTACTTTATTGTGGATGGGATGCATCAGGAACATCCCGAGCTGGTCAAGGATCAGTACTGGGATGAGGTCTTCCCCAATGAACTGCCGTACACTGTGCAGGGCATGCGAACCAATCCGCCAGAGGCCTCGACTGCCAACATGGAACCCGCAAAGGTATGGCTTCACTTTCTTCTTTCTTTATTTCTAAAATGCATTTATACAGGCCCCGAAACGTCGTGGATCTCTTTTGTCCACCCCACCCAGTGGTGTTCGTTTGCCGGATTTAAATAATTCCTTCCTGGGCAGACTCTCCGTCAGCAGAAGCTACACGGACTCGTATACCGTGCAGGAGACTCCTTCCCAAGTTACCTTTAGTGGTCGGTCTACTGTATCGGAACGAACTGACATTCAAAGTTCAGTCGGAACTTCGCAATCCACAAGTGAGTCTACATTATACCCTTCTTTTTTGCAATTTAATATTTATAATTACCATTTTTAGTTGATTTCAATGAGCTTATTGAGCAGCGTCGTCGGGAGCGAAGGGACCGAATGCGTCACCGCTTCCTAGACATAAAGACCACCCAGCTGCTATACGATCCCTCTGGAACACCCTACAAGATCACCGTGCTGCGTCCTCCGTCCGAGGAAGTTATTCCGGAGGAGGAAAATGAGACTTCCGAAGCGAACACGCCAAGGCCGAAGAAGTCAGATTAATGATTAATTGATAATTAATTTATAATTTTATTATAAACAGAGATACTAAAATATATCTCAAAAAACTGGACACTATTATATGCCTTATTTTCCTTCCTTGGTTTTATAAAATGAATTACAAAATCTACTTATTCTGGTCTTTGTTTTGGTCCTTATCATTATCCTCATCCTCAGTGCTTTTCTCTTTGGTCTGGCTAATGTAACTTTTGTCCGTCTGGACTTCTTGGTTGGACCCAGGCTCCGATCCAATGCTCGAAACCATTTCATCTTTCATCAGCTCGTAGGTGAGGGCGGCGTGTTGGATCTGTCGGTTGACACGTTCTCTTTCCCGTTCAATACGCAGAAGATCAAAATCGTCCTGTTCAAGGTCATGCTCCTCGTCCTCCAGCTCTTCGCCGTCAAAGGTGTTCCGGCTGGACCTGACCGAGGAACGTGTGGTGGCAAAGGAGCTGTGGCTAAAGCTAAAGTCTCGCTTGGCAAAGCGGAGCTTCAGCTCCTGACTGTTCTCCTCCTCTGCCTCGTTTTCGCTATCATAAGTAGAGTAATCCTCATCGCCCTTGGTTGACTTTGAGCTAACGGACTTGGGCTTCAAAAGGCCCAGCTTGGCGGTGGAGGCTTCCGGATGCTCGGCCCTCTCGGCCTCGACCAGGTAGGGCAGTTCGTTGGGGAACACCTCGTCCCAGTACTGGTCCCTCACCAGCTGCGGATGGTCGTTGTGCATCTCGTCCACAATCAGATAGCTGACCTGCAGGTTCCTATCGATCAGCCAGTTTAGCTCGAAATCGTCGTCGTCGTCGCCAAAGGGGCAGATCAGGGTCTCCGCCACCTTCAGCCAACCCATGAAGAAGAAAAACTCCAGGGTGCTGAACAGAGGAAAGTAATAGTCGACTATGTTATTGTACAATTTGCCACTCTTCTCCCGATCGATCCACTGATGTCCAAAAATAGCGGCTATGAAATACGTGTAAACAGCCAGGGTCACCACCTGTACAAAATCGAAATAAAAAAAGCTTTTCTTCTTTAAAACTGTTGATCCCTTCCACCCTCACCTGTGTGTAAACCAAAGGCACCGATATAGTATCATAGTGTATCAGCATATTGCAGCCAGCGCGAAACTTGTTCATCTCATCGATCATGGACTTTAGCGAGAAGTCATCCCAGATGCGACCCTCCTTCCGGGCCCGCGTCACAATACTAGCCGCCCAGACAATGGGCATCCAGTGCTTCGGGTGCTTCGGAAACTTGGCATCCATGGCCCTAATGATGTTAGCCTCGTTGGCATTGAGGAGGCCCACTTCGATCAGCTGATCATAGCTGGGAAAGCGTCGTTTGATCACAGGGGATATCAGGGTTAGGACCATAGTCAAAGCCAGGCACATGTAGCGCATAATGGTGCGCCGCATCAGGCGACCGTGCTCATCCTGGCCACGGACCAGGGAACTCACATATACCGCCAGGGCATCGGGCCAAGGCACGGTGACGTACTGACTCCACCAACGGTCAACGATAATGCCCACATAGAAGCCCAGAACGAATGAGAGTGGAATGAGGTTGCCATAGCTGTGGCAGTACATCACGATAGCCTCAAAGCAACTGAGGTTGGGATGGTTTAAAGAGGTTAATTCAAATTATAGGAGTCGGAAATGCAAGGATTAGTCAAGAAAATCTATCAAAATCATACAAAATTACCCCAAAATATATGCTTTATAAAGAACCCCCAAGATCTACTCACGCTTTATCGCTTGGTCTCAGTGCAAATCGATAGATTATGGCCACAAAATAAAAGCAGCCCAGAAAAGCCAATAGGTCCACCCAGATAATCTTGTAGATGCTGGCACGCCATCTGTATTTTTTTTGTTATATTTCAAGGATAATAATATCCACAACAAGAGAGGGTTCTCACCTGATCAAAAGCCTCCAGAAGCAACCAAAGTGACTGCAAGTGGCCACCTCGGCGGTGTAAGAGACCGTCATCACCGACAATTGGCGATTGGAAAACTTTATACCGATAATAATAATACCGAACAACTGGGAAATCGGCTTGGCAATGGCAAACGGTTAAATGGGAAACTGGGAAATGGGAGGCACTTTGTGAGGCCATAAGCAAAGCCAACTTTGAAATTAGTTCTAGTCCTCGGCCTGGTTGGGGGGTAATTTTCTCACTCAAGCATTAAACGAAGGCAATTCGGTAGGCGCGTCACATTTTGTGGGCGTAATTATTTAAATTAGATCATTTATATTTGCCGCCAGGCCGGCAGACAACAAGCCGCAAAGGCCAATTTGCCACACGCTCCAACTCCTCGCACATGTGATGAAGTCGGTTTCAGCTCAGGCTCCTACTCCTGCTCCTGCCATTATATAAACGTATATATGTTCGTCTGCTGGCATCAAGTAGGTGCAGTAAAATTTTAATACCCCAGCAAACATTCTCTGCGGCATTGTCGTGATTTTTCCCCCTTTCCACCGATGAAAGTGTGAAGAGCATTTTGAGTATCTTATCAGCATTTATTTGTTGTGGCTGAATCGGTCGATTCCATCACTAAATACCAATTTTCCGGGGAAGTAATTGGGATAAAGACAATATAAAACGGATCTAAATCGATGGGTTTTCGCAACTCTTGAGGTAATTTTATTTTATATATATTTTTAATTACCTTTATAGTGCCTTTGAATTTTATAAATATTTTAATATATTTAATTGTAAGCACATATGTATATAATTTATATATTTAAATTAAATTAATTAATATTTGAACCAAATAAAATTCTGAAATCTAAATGTAACCTCTATTATCTTGAATTACCTGACATAGCCACTTCAAAAGAGTGAATAATTCCACACGTGACGCATTCAATATAATTTGGGTTTGGTTTAATAGCATTCCTAATCAGTTTATAGATAATTAAACAACTGGTAATGCCCGAGTTCTTGAAAGTTTTGCAAACGAATTAAAAATAATGTTAAGAAGTGGTTAATGAAAATGTGGAATTTCCAAATGAAAAACCGCTGGAATGCTGGGGTTAATATCAGCGATTCATCAAGCACAATTATAACGAAAGCACTTACACCTGCGGAACAATGCAATCAAAGCAGATTTGTTTAATCGGCTTATCTCGTATCAGCGAATCATATCTGCAATTATGAAATAAAGCCATTCATTCACCTTCTTATATAGCGAGAGTTTTACGTAATTGTAGATTACAGGGAGATAGGGTTTATATAGTACTAGAGAAGGGTTATTCATCAAATGGAATATAAAAGGTACATGGATTCTTGTATTTGATATTGATTTAGTTAAGCTTTATATATTACTTTTAGAAAATATATAAACTTTTTAAATAGCAAACATTCACATTAATGACCATATTATTTATATATTATTTCCTGATTGTTTTATTTGTATATATTAAATATTATTTATTATTGTCTTTCCCATAAATACTTGTTTTCAGTTATATATTTTACTTTTGAAATCATATAAGGCGCATCCAAGCTTATCAACCGCCTTAACCACTTCATAAAATCTACAAATTGACACTCGACAGCTAACGACAATAAAAGCAGCAACAACTAGACCGAAAAAACACTGAGAACAATATTAACAAACAATAGGAAGACGGGCAGCAGCAGCAGCAGCAAAAGCATTTATAATTGTGTTCGTCTGTGCGATATTGTTACTGCATTCCGCTATATAGTCGGCCAGTCGCTCTCTCTATATAGCGAGCACCATATTATCTTACACTTTCAGTTAACGTTATTCACCGAAACCGTCAACAACCGAGCTGCGTGCTGGCCGTGTGACAAAAAGAGAGTGAACGTTAGCAGTGTAAGCGAGAGGGAGAAATATATGCGAACGTTCAAATCTAAAGCCAAAAAAAACACAAAAAACGGCAGATCGGAAATGAAGTAAAAACGTGAATACAAACATGGTCTTATCGGAGACAACATAAATAACAGAATTCTGGAATTGCTTGTGTAGTGGCGGCAGAAAAAAAAAACCCAAAAAATGAAACTAGAAAAAAAATCTGTTGTTTCGCTATCGCAAAGATCATAAAACCGAAAGTCGGAAAACAACAACAACAAACGCACAGCAGCAGCAGCAACATCAAAAAAACAGCAGCCAAATGCGACGTCACACAGTGTGATTCAGCCTCTCCCTACCCCTCCCTTTCGCACACCTCCCTCTCCCTTTCTCTAACACACCTGCTAATTTGTATTTTTTTTTTGTATTCGCTCTAATTACAACCCAGATCATCTACAGAAACCCTCCTCAGATCCCCCGGACTCACGTTATCTCAAGTAAATCCAGCCGATCCGAGCGGGATTCGTCTTCGGTTCTTATCAGTAATGCTTCGTGTGTGCACTGTGAGAAATTAAAGAGTGTTTAGTGATTAGATTAGTGATGATTAATACAACAGATAACATAAAGTGGAAATGATATAAAATTGTACATAAAGACTGAATCAATAAAACTTAAAAAGAGGCATAATAACTAATGAAAAAATAGAATATGAAATAATAAGATATACTTACAGTGTGGTTTAATATTTTAAAATTAATTCTAAGCCACCGAAGTGCTAACTAAACTATAAAAGAAATTCTAAATTTATTTTCTTTATTTACTCCGTAAATATTAAAAAAAGAGAATGATGTTTCCATAATAATTTCATTCATTTCAAATTTACACTTTCTTTTTTACCTCACTCAGTTCAAGCCCATTTTTTCTCGCCGTGTACCCCGTTCTCCGCGCCCATGGCTGACACTAGCTCTCGTCGGACTGAGGAGGAGGTTCGAGTTCGGCTCCCTGGACTGGTGGTCTTATCTTAGGAGGAATACACACGGTGAATTCGCGGCTGTAATACGACACCAACACCCTGCAGACGCAGACGCTCCGAGATCGCCAAGTATGTCAGTCACACGTTTGTTGTCCGTTTTTTTATAGTCTTGTGTGAACGGGAATTAATAATAGACTTACAATTCATTAATAAGAATCGGACAAAGGCGAGGAGAAAATATTTGCACTGCCTCAACAACTGCAGCAGGAGAGGCGTACAAAAAACCCAGAAAAACTGTTTTCCAGTTGGTGGTGAGTGAAGTTTACCATAATTATATAAATACAGCATAAGTTGCCATTCGACAAGTCCGGCAGACTCACCTAGACCCACTTAATTATCTCAGTTAAGCGCAGAGCAAAGCGAGTTATAAAGTTTAATAATAGAAGGGCAAACAAAGTTGGAGGGGAGACATTATAGGCCAGAACTTGAGCATCTGATTCTTATCAAAGTGGGGGGAATATGGCTTTTCTTTTTCTGCGAAAAGGTGTGGGTGGTTAGTCACCTGTTGGGGAAAAAATAAATAATTAAGTGTTATTTATGGGGTTGAAAAAGATTCATCAGGTTAGCCACAGAATTTATTTGGTTAAGTTATTTCATCATCAATGTAAATGTAAAATAACCAAGTAGTTCGTAAGGTTTTCTGACTAGACTTTGGCTTTAATTAAAAAAGATTTGTTTAGTGAAAGGAAGTAATTGTAATTATCAAAGAATATACATATATTTTCTTAATAATAACCTCACTCTTCATAAATGTTATGACCCTAACCCAATTTCCTCAAGAAAATTGCCCACCAAAAACATTTCCATTACAACCTATAGAACCCCGAAAACCCTCCCATATATAGCACTCCCCATACACATAGACAGATTACCTACATATACCCAATTCTAAGTGGAGCAATCGAGTTCAAACTCGCAGCTGACAATAGCCTCGCCATTTACGATTACAATTTGAGCTCAATTATTTGCATTATACAATCGAACGCGCGGCGTCGTCACAAGATAAGCCCCCTGGAAAATACGTAGATCCGAAGTGCATCATGATCTTGGCTAAACCTGTGTCATTTGCAATTGATTCTTTCCAGAATCCCAGGGTTAGTGAACTTCCCGTAAATCCGGAGAGAGCGATACGCAGCAGATATGGTGCGCCAAGTCTCGCCCTGGAAGGTTCTCACACGGCGTAAACATCTCCAGGCCGATGGCAGCGAGGGAGAGACGAAGCTGAACCGAGTGCTGGGATTATGGGACCTCACGGCCCTGGGAGTGGGTTCGACCCTGGGGGCAGGGGTCTATGTGCTGGCTGGACAGATTGCCAAGGATCAGGCGGGTCCCTCGGTGATGATATCGTTTGCCATTGCTGCACTGGCCTCGCTGCTGGCGGGTGAGTTTTATAAAACAATTAACAAAATATTATTTAAATATTTCTTACAACTTTTTGAATTAATAAATTCATTTCTTATTTTCTATAGGCGTTTGTTATGCTGAATTTGGAGCCAGAGTTCCCAAGGCTGGCTCGGCCTATGTCTATAGTTATGTCTGCATTGGCGAGTTCATAGCCTTTGTCATTGGCTGGAATCTCATTCTGGAATATGTAATTGGTACAGCGAGTGTTTGTAGGGGTATCAGCCTGTACCTGGACTCCCTGCTGAATGATACCCTGAAGACCACATTTGCGGAGGTGGCCCCCATGAATGTCAGCTTTCTGGGCAGCTACTTTGACTTTCTGGCCTTTGGGCTAGTGGTTGTCTTTGGAGGTGGGTTTTCAAATAATTCTATAAACAATTTTAAATAATTAATAAATTGATTTTTTAGTGGCCCTGGCCTTTGGTGTGGAGACCTCAACAATGGCTAATAATTTTGTTACCTGTCTAAACATCTTTATACTGGGATTTGTAATAATTGCAGGAGCCATTAAAGGTAAGAAAAAAAAAATCTTTACAAAATATATTTCCCATGAAATCAATTTTAAAATTTTATTATTACACTTTTAGCTGACTTCTCTAACTGGACAGTGGATCCCAGCACTGTTTCGGCCAACTATACCATAGGATCGGGTGGCTATTTTCCCTACGGATTCGAGGGCACTCTCCGCGGAGCCGCAACCTGCTTTTTTGGTTTCGTGGGCTTCGATTGCATTGCCACCACCGGGGAGGAGGTTCGAAATCCTCGCAAGAATATACCCCAATCGATCCTGCTCTCCCTGCTGATCATTTTCCTGTGTTACTTTGGCGTGTCCACGGTCCTGACCCTGATGCTGCCCTACTATCTCCAAGATGCCAATGCTCCACTGCCGTATGCCTTCGAGTATGTGGGTTGGCCGGTTGCCATGTGGATTGTGACTGTAGGTGGCTTAGTGGGTTTACTGGCGAGTCTGTTTGGAGCCCTCTTTCCACTGCCCCGAGTCATGTACTCCATGGCCCAGGATGGGCTTCTGTTCCGGTTTCTGGGCAAAGTGAGCCCCAGATTTAGGGTTCCGGTCACAGGATCCATTGTGGCCGCACTGTTCACGGCCGTAATTGCCGGACTCTTCGATTTGGCCCAGTTGGTCAGTTTGCTGTCGATTGGAACTCTGTTGGCGTACAGTGTGGTGGCCATATCCATAATGCTCCTCCGATATATGGACTATTGTGAGATGGAGGAGAGTTCGGGACAGAGGCAGGAGAGTCGGGCCTCGGAGACCACTTCCTTAACGTCCAGAAGTGAGAGATTCACTTGTGGTTCTGTGTGCACGCAACTCTTTAATGTCCATCGAATGTCAGAGCCAAATGCGATATCTTCAAGAATTGTGGGAGTCTTGGCTACCATATTTTGTGAGTAATAACACAAAATCTTAAGTTATATTATTAATATTAATTATTCTCTATTTTCCAGGCCTCCTTTCCTTGGGTCTTGGTTTGCTGATAATGCAGGCCCATCCTTCAATCGCCTCTCAGGAGCCCTGGGCCCTGACCCTCCTCGTGGTATTAATCCTGCTCATTGTCCTGGTTATTCTGCTGATTTGCCTGCAGCCCAGAGAAGCTCGTGGTCGCTTATTCCGAGTGCCCTTCGTTCCGATTGTGCCCGCCATTAGTATCTTTATCAACATTTATCTGATGCTCCAGCTGGACAGTTGGACCTGGATTCGTTTCGGGGTCTGGATGATAGTGGGTGAGTTGGTTTTATCTATAGAATCTCACTGCATGTGGTAGAAATTAATGCATGTTGCACTTTGCACTAACCTAAATGTCCTAGGCATTCCCATATTCCTTGCATGCTGGTATCTTTACGATTGCAAGAACCCCCAGAAGAGGAATCCCGAAAGATTAGCTTTTTACAAAGAGCTGAAGGGATCAGAGAAGAGCCTAGACAAGGAACAAAATTGTGTGTCCAAGGAGAGTATTTTAACCGTTGAAACTCAGCTGAAGAAGAGTCCCAGCAGCAGCCTGGATCAAATCCAGAATCTAAGCGATGTTGGCGAGGACTTGATTGAGGTGAAGCATGCCAATGGCAAGCTGTTCTATGTGGAGGATACCAAGAGCGAAAACTCCACGGCAACTTTGGGCAATGAATCCCCATCGCGGGATGATGAGCAGTCGGTTATTGCCATGCTGGACGATGTTCTCGATGCCGAGGATATTCAGCAGAGCCAACACGAGCTGGAACAGCAGCTTATATTCGAGCGTCATTTCAGCCTGGACTCCGAGATGTATCCGAGTGTCATAGAAACAGTAATTGTGGCCACCGTTCACAGCAGCAGTGACGATGATGAAGCCCAGGATGGGGTTCCTCTAGGCAGGAATAGATACGAGGAGTGTAAAGTGCTAGCCCAGCAAATGCTCGATGAGCTCTTCAATAGCGAGGCCTTTTATGAACAGCTCGAGACAGTCAGAGCCGGAGGGGATCAATTAAAAGGGGATTTCCCGGGAAGCCAGGAACCACAGCCCCTGGTGCTGCTTAGACCTACCTTGCAGCGTCCGTCCTCCCAGACATCCCTTAAGTCGCAGGCCTCCGAAATTGAGGATCCCCTGCATTCGGCCAAGTTTAAAGACCGCCTAAGCCACATCATTATGAATGCCAATGTCCACAAGGTGAAGGGGCCGGTAAAGAGGAACGAGGAGGAGGCGGAGGAGCTGGTGGATCTGGAGCAGGACGAGGATGATGAGCCGAAGGCAAGGCCGCAGCTAAAGCAATCGAAAAGCGAAACCGATGTGCGTCGCCTAATGCTGAAGGCCATCAGCGAACTGAAAATCGACCATAATGAGGCTGGTAATGCTGATGAGGTCTCCGCTGAAAGCCCCTTCAAATCCCCAGCAGCACCTGCTCCAGTTGCTCCAGTTGCTCCAGTTGCAGGTGCAGTTGCAATTGCGAGTGCCAACAACATACCGCGTCCACCGAAATTCGATCCGGTGCTCTACAAGACCATCAACAGCATTAGTTTGCGCAAACAGCGACCCAGTTTGAGCCAACAGCAGCAGCAACATATCGTGGATGCCAAGAACCCGGCACTCCTCCACCACCACCTGCCACCGGAATCGCGGCCGGAGACGGAGACGGTTACGGGCCCGGATCCTGGCCAGCAACCGGAGTCGGAGCCTTTGCCATTCAAAGCGAAATTGGAGGCCATATTGCAGCGGGGTCCCTCGCACCGAACCCAACAACATCCGGACTTGGTGCGTCGCCATCGTCCGCAGTCCACTTACCTGGAGGCGGAGGAGGTGGAAAGCTGAGGGGGTCTCATTCCATAAACCAAACCCCCCTCCTGGTGAAACCAAAGAGGGTGCCATTTTCCCCCCAGTTAAAAGTAGTCGAGTCCTGCATGCGAATCGGAATGCAAATGCAGCTTGCCTTGTACATAGCCAGCATAGCTGTAGTTACTAGTAGTCACTAGTTAGTTAGTAGGGAATGCAAGCAATTCTAGTTGATAAGGACCAGGTGGATTGTGAGGGAGAGATAATGGGAAGGAGACTTCTAGAGGGATTGTTGAAAAGAAATGGGAGAAGATTTCATTGAGAAGGAAATTAAATTAGTCACACAGGTTTAAAGTTTGCAGTTTAGCAAGATGTTGATAAAGATATAATATACATAATTTCAAAGTTTAAATAATATATAGTGAAACTTCTTAAAAAGCAATTAAAACTGTGGACTGAAACATCATCATAAATCACTTGAAAATCTCTTTTTCAACCCCAAAACTTTACAGCAATAAATTTACAGAAACTAAACACATAATGACTTGATAGGATTTGAGTGGATTTTACAAAAATGGGTCAAAACTATACTAGAAACTCTACCTAATTATTTATAATTACTTCCCCAAACCCCCCCACAATCCACCTTTAATTAATGTGCATGCTTAGCTAACTCAAAGCTAGTCGGAAAAGTATTTAATAAAACGGTATTATAGTCGTCAAAACTAAGTGCTTAAGATACCTCCTGATAAACTAATCGGTTCTCTTTATACACCACACACCCATATAGGAATGTCCATATACTTTTTCTACGGCCTGCCCAACAGCTACCGAGAGCTGAAGCGCCAAAGGGCTGGCTGGCAGAAGCTCAAATATAGCGATCGCCTCTGAAGGAAGGAGGAAACATCGAAGATAATTATTTGTCTATATAAATGTATATACCCCGAATGCGTCACTAAGCCAATTTGATAAATTGTCAACAATTTGTTGGTTATAAATAAAAATCTAGTTGTAATTAATAAAAGTCAAGCGAGCGTTTACCTGAGGCAAGGGAAAAGAAAGGAAAGAATGGGAAGAAAAGAAATGTTGAGAGCAACTGCAGCCGCTTCCGGAATCGATTCCCCGATGATCGCCGGCAGAGTGTGCTGTATTAATAACCCAACAATGAATTGGGGATCGTCCATTGTCGTTTAATTCCCAGTGGCCTTGTCTTGAAGATGCTTCTGCCTCCATCTCCTGCGACTGCACTGACTTTGATAAATTAATTGGCATCGGCTGATCGTTGAGCGAGCATCTCTCGGGGAGTGTGTTTCCCCTTTGGCCTCATCGAAAATTTCCTTGGTGAGTTTAACCCCTGCACCTGCACTGCAAGAAAATGTAAAAAAATTCTAGATAATGTATATAATTTAATTTATTTAAGAGGAAGTAACCAAGCAAGCAAGCCTTCTTTTGAATTCCTCTACAAACCCTTACTTGTTTTCAGTTCCCAATTATTACTCTCAGTGTAGTGTTTTCCCCCTTTTGCCTTGATTTTGATTAGAGAGAAACATCCCCTTGGGCTGATGCCTTCCCCCTTTTCGCTGCTCTGTTCCCAAACTATGCCCTGATTTATGCGGACATTCGTTTGGGCATTTCTTTGGTCAGGTTGCTGCTGATGCTGAGATGCTTCCAGTTGCGCTACTCCTGATGCCAGTCTGGAGATTTGTATAACCGCAAGACGAAAGACGAAACAACTGGCGACTGTTTGGCGTCCCGGCTTCTCCGTGGAGATGGATCCGGGGTTGCTCAAGACTTTTGTGCTGCGTAAGTGTAACAAATTGTAATCGTATTTGGCGGGGACTTTGTCTGGGGCGTGCCCCTGACTTCCCCCGGCTCCGGCTTTATTATTATTAACTTTGTTATGGGCCGGCGCGAGAGGAGTATCTCCCAGAAGTCCCAGGGTCTGGTTCCGTTCTGGTGGTTGTTTTGGTTCTTTGCTACACTTGCTCGCCGACTGTCCGCCCCCTTTATCTAGTCGACCGTTCAAATAGTTTTATGGCATATTTATGGGCGCCAAAACTTAAAGTCCCTCCAGCTAAGACTTTAAGACTTCCGAAAACGGGAGTTTCAGAGGGGGGTGGAGCTCCAGACCTCGCCCCCGCATCATCTCCAAGAGCATTGACATCAGGGCTCTGTGACAAATTGGCAAAGAGCGAGACTAATTAATGCAAGGGGAATACGACAACTTTGGATATTGCATTCCATTGGGGGGAGAGAGGAGAAGATAATGGAAGATGTACTCGGTAAATATTCATATGGGAAAAAGATGCTACTAAATACTACATTTTATAGAATTTTCTGGCTTAAAAATCAGTTAAGTTACCACATTTAAATAAATAATACTTTTTTGACCTTTTGTTAAATGAATTACTTTTTTAAAAACCTAAAACTTGGCTTCCTGCTTTTAAACGTCAAATAATTACAGTATTCTTCGGTTTCTTAACCGATTATTTCTCACTTCCTTTTTTCCTAGAATTTTCCTTTTGATTTTCCCAGCCACAAATGAGTTAAGCTCTATCTCCGTTAGTAGTCCCACAGTTTTTTTCCTGAAACAATTTCTTTTCAAATTGGTTTTGGTTATGTAATCATTGCTCAGCTCTAATAACATTTTCACCCATCCTAACTCCATTTTTTTTGCCCCCTTCAGCCACGTTTTTTTTTGAAGTTGGTTAGTTTGTTATTATTTCCTCTGCTGTCTAAAGCGGCTTTTCCATATTCATAAAAATTGCGAGTTTTACCCCGGCACATCCTCATTCACATTCGCATTCCGACAGGACATAATCCTCTTAACGTGGGTGGACAGGACAGGACAACTCTCGGCGTACTCCTGTTCGTGGTGGTCTCTCCTTGATTTTCTCGTATTTTGTTTTGCTGAATTGTTTCGAAAATTAAAATATGTGCCGGGTGACGGGTGCCGGGTGCCGGGTACCGGAGCTGGTCTGAGGGTTTTAGCCAGCAGCGGAAGTTGTCATCATCATTTGCCAGGCAACAAGGTGCACGGGTAAATGCGGGCGCTGCAGTTGCAGTCCGACGACTACCTACTACTACCAAAGTCAATGGCACTCGACAAAAACATTTTGTCAAAACAACGGAGGCGGCTGCTACTGTACGCAAAGTGGATCAGTGGATTTGTCCGTTCCGAAACACACACACACACGGAAAAAAAAGGAAGGGAAAAAGTAATTCTCGTAGCAACAGCTGCACAAATGCAGGACTTCCAACTCAGAAAAAAAACGGAAAAAGGATTAGCATTTCGGTTTAGCTGTTTGCTCAATCGGCCATGACAGCCAGCCACGGATATGGTGCATGTCAAGGCTCTGGCACTGTTTCGGTTTTCTGTTTGCTAGATTTTGGATTTTGGGAGGCTGCCTCTGCGGTCTGTGCATACATATGTTAAGCAGGAGATTGCATTCGGATGAGATTAACCCATTGAGGAGGTTCGAGCCGTCCTAAATGAATTACTCTTTAATGGGATTGAAAAGGTATCCTGTGGCTGTGGTGCTGAGGTCAAGTCAAGGGAGATTAATAGTGCAAGATTCATCTTGTGGCCCAAGAAAAGAAGGATTTCCGGTGGCTCATTTTAAAAGGGAATTTTTAGAAAATGATTGTAAAGGTTTATTTAAGGAATTAGTTATGGATTTGTGTATTGTATTTTTGGTAGAAAAAGATAGGGTAAAGATTAATGGCTTATAATTTTTAAAGATACCTTAAAAAGGAATTCTCTACTTTGATATTTAAATTCAGCCACAAGTACTTTCCTCTCAGATGCTATGAAATAAATTACTTAGGAATCAGTTGCTCAGAAATTACCTTGAATTTTATAGAACTCTTTCTCTAAAACTCAAAAGAAGTGTATTGTATTTTTCCTCTACCCACCCCTTACTTAACTTTTCAATTACATTTTCAAACCCTTAATTCATTTACCGTAGCCAATGCCAATTGAACACATTGTGTGGCCTCACACCCTCTGAAAAACCCATCTGGCATTGTTCTCATCGCTGGAAATTTACCTGGAATATGTACTATGCCTTCACGTATTGATCTCTCAACTGCGAAGACACCTTGCGAATTGTTAATCACGATTTCGTACGGAATTGCATTACAATCAGCCTGATTTCTCAGCACTTTCTGTGCGATGCTGCTGCTGTCCCTCCATTAAAATCTCGGTCTTGAGTATTCCTTCGATGTGCATCCTTGGGTGCTCCTCATAATTGCTCCTTTGTCATTTGCCACAACGCACAAAAGGTCTTAGAAAATGGTCGAGGGAAAATAATACGCTGTTGATTCTCTACTCGACTTCAATTGATTTCTACGAGCTATCTCAGTGCCTCTAATTTTTTCTCATTTATCTTGTTTGGGACAAATGGTTTGTGCTTGTCATAACCTCTCCTATTTTTACAATTTTCTATTCTTTTTTTTTTTTTTTTTTTTTTTTAGAAATAATTCTCCCTTTCTTGGTGCCCTCTTCGGGGCAGCCTCGGGCATTCGACAATTTTTAAAGAAGAATAATATTTACCGAGCCACGCACAATGGCAGGACGACACTGGAGAAGAGGTCCCTGGGACAGGGCATTGTTTTCGCATTCAATTCCCTGACAATAAGCATTATTGAGAATCTGAAATGTGGCCGGCCTGCACACGTTCGCCCTGTCTCTTTCGGCGCCCCTCCAGCCGTCCCTCTCTAAGTGTGTGAGTGCGCTTAGAATGTTAACCAAGCCAACCAAGCAATTCAAATTCAATTTGCCCCATTATGTGAGGCCCATTGTTCCTGGCAAAATTCTAAGGGGCTCCGAGGCATTCTCCAAAGAGAAGGGAATGAGCGGGAGGGAGGGGCAGTAGGAGGAGCGGTGTGCAGCGGGCCAAGACTGCAAGCCAAGTTAAGTGCAATACAAAAGGCAGACAGATTAAAAATGTGCAAAAGACGCATACACAGGGAAAAAAATGTCAAAGGTCTAGAATATTAAAAATAGTTTTTTTGAATTAGATATTGGATTCTCGAAAAGGGTTATCTCACCTTAAGATTGCACCAAAAAGTATGCTATGATTTTATGCCAGGATATTCTATAATCAACTACTTTTTCTAAAACTTAATATCACATTTTTTAATATTTATTTCCTATTTAAAAAATTAATGTCTTAATTATGCTCTCTCTCTGTACTGCAAAGGAGACATTGAGTGAAGAAGTGGGAGGACATCTTCAAGCTAAATGAATGCAATAAGTAAATAACAAAATGTCCTTAGCATTTTGTGACACACTCACGCTCTCTCTCTCTCTCTCTTTCTCAGTCTCTCTCTTTTCTCCCTCGCCCAGTCTCTTCCTATTTCTCTGACTATATCTTTTCAGGTCTCCAGGACAATGGGAATGTCAGCAGTTGCAGTTGCATTTGCCGTTGACATCCTGGCCTGAATGCGGAGACAGAGATGGCAAAACAAGGGCAGAAAGGGATAGAACGGAATGATAATCGAGAAACAGGAACAAATTCTCCCATTCTCCTATTCCTCCTTTCTCACAGCTGTCAGCGGCAACAAATTGCGCGCAAAGTTGGCATTAGAAAATGTGGGCGGAAATGGAGGTGAGCGGTGAGAAAATCTATGAGGAAAACAAACCTGACTAAAACACGAAAGTTAAATGCACTCTTTGAATGGCGAGTCATTAGGCTGAATTTTTAAGAAATAATTTTGTAGAAAGAGGTCTCTCTTTTGAATTATTAGAG